CCCGTACCCCCAGTGTCCCCCCCATCCCAGCACGCACCGTTCCCAGTACCCCAGTGTCCACCCTCATCCCAGCATGCACCGCGCCCCGTACCCCAGTGTCCACCCCCATCCCAGCATGCACCGTTCCCATTCCCCAGCACCCTTTCCTGTCACCGCCACCCCTTGCACAGAACCCAGGAATCTGGCTCCCAGCCCCCCGGGAAAAGGGGCCAGGCATCCTGCCTGCTCCCCCCCCCTCCCCTCTTTCCCCACCCATGTTGAAACGGGTGTGATTTATTGGGGTTTTACGTCAAAGGAAACATCACCCGCGCACCCGTACAGTCAGTCAACACAAGACAACCACAGACAGGGAGGAGCCATCCTAGGTTCCTTCCCCTTCCAAACATGACAACATCCAACGGGATTCCATCATAATGACTCAAGTATGAGCACAACATTGTTGCCTTCTCTCCATGGACCAGAACGGGTGTGATTTATTGGGGTTTTACGTCAAAGGAAACATCACCCGCGCACCCGTACAGTCAGTCAACACAAGACAACCACAGACAGGGAGGAGCCATCCTAGGTTCCTTCCCCTTCCAAACATGACAACATCCAACGGGATTCCATCATAATGACTCAAGTATGAGCACAACATTGTTGCCTTCTCTCCATGGACCAGCCAACAGCATATGAGCATGACTAGTACTGACAGCTCAAGTTAATCTCTGATATTACTGTAAGGATTTACTTTAGCCCTTTGATTTGAATTGCCAATAGCCCATGGGTGTAGTTTGACTAATGACCAGAATATCTGTTTGGATTACATTTAAATTAAAAAAAACCCTAAAACCTGCTAAATTCACAAAACAGAATTAGGGTGATCTAAGGCTATCGCCCAGTATTACTAGAATATACAATACAATCCTTTACTACATGACCACTCAACAATGGCCCATTTGAGCATAACACTTGGCCAAGCAACACTGGACAGCATGTAACACTAGGGATACGCATCTTTATCCACCACAGCCTCAGTTACAAGGAGGTAGTAATTTGAATCTCTGTCTACAGTCCCCAAATTATATCATAATTCATTCATGTAGTGTACTTAATGCCCTCTAGTGGCAGGTCTATTTACAGTATTAATACTTATACCATGCTTTTAAATATTAACTGAAAATACTCAGGTCAGTAGTGTTATCACCCTATTTAAGAGGGGGGAAAACAGAGTGAAGAAATTACTTGCCTGCTTATGGTCAGCAGCAGACACAGAAACAACCCAGGAGACCTGATTCTCAGTCCTTCCTGCTCTCACTAGACCACATTCCCCACCCCTAGAGGAGAATACCGGCCTCCAGTTCTCTTTTGGGCGCTTGTCTAGATGGGGACACTGACCAAAATTGATGTGGAACAAGTTCCCCATGTGGCCACTCTCCTCTGGGATAATTAGTGAGCTTATGAAACAGAGCACTTACGCAGGAATCAAATCCCTCTTCTCCCAGAAGAGAGAACCCACCCATGACTGCAGTAGCTTCTGTTTCCCAATGCAGATAAGCCCTCTCTCTTCTGCTGCAATGGATGGAACCTGCTACAATGACTTGGTGCGATGAGGTTAATACTGAGGTGGGGAGTTTAGATTTGAATTCTACCCACTCCTTCCTTCAACTACTTATAAATCTCCACCATAGCACCAGAGCAGAGCAGGGCTGGTATTGTTCCCAATACACAAACACAGAACTAGCATACACAAGGCGATATAACACAGTCAAAATTCCAAGAACACTGCCTTTGGTACTGTTCAGAGTCTACAGTCTGTTAGTCTCTAGAACGGAAGGGTTCTCAATTGCAGAAAGTTATTTCGAGTAGGCTTCACTTAAATTTAGTGTGGCAATAACTAACCAGTAGGCTCTCTGCTTGGGAGCTCTGATCCCAACAGGAGAGTACTGAACAGTTGTATATAACCAGCTGCCCTAGACAGGAGGGGCACCCCAGAGCAGTCTGGCTCTGGGAAAGGTTCAAACATGCTAAAGTAGTATCTCTCAGGCTGGGAGCAACTTGCTGGGAACACAACTCCAGAGCGCTGACTCCTTTCACTAAGCCACTAGACCCCCCTCCCCAACCTCTCACTAGGAACCGAACCCCGGAGTCTCCACTGCCAGCCACCCTGTTCTATCTCGCTCCCCTCCTAGAGTTCAGGGTAGAACCTAGGACTCCAGACTGATACTCTGCCTCCTTACCAGATCCAGAAAGAAAACCTAGGAGTCCTGTCCCCCTTTGCTCTACCCACTAAATTCCACTCCCCTTCCAAAGCCATGGAGTCCTGATTGCCAGTCCCTACCCCCACCCTAACCACTAGATCCCACTCCCACAGCTGCAGGAAATCTAGTCGAGGAATTCCAGTGCTCCAATGCAGGAGGTTCAAGGAATTCCCGTCCTAAGTCAGGAGGACGTTAACCCCCCCCAGTGTCAGGACGGCCACCGGTTCCTCTCCTTGGTGCAGCTTCTGGTGGCGGGTGAATTGCTGCTTATAGCGGAAGCTCTTCCCACAGACGCTGCAGCCGTAGGGCTTCTCCCCAGTGTGGATGCGCCGGTGCTTGACCAGTTTGGAGTTGACGTAAAAGCCACGCCCGCAGTCGGGGCAGCGGAAGGGCTTCTCGCCGGTGTGGATGCGCTGGTGCTCGATGAGGGTGGAGCTCTGGCTGAAGCGCTTGCCGCACTGGCCGCAGACAAAGGGGCGCTCGCCCGTGTGGATCCGCATGTGCTCGATCAGCACAGAGCTCTGGCCAAAGCTCTTATCACACTCCGTGCACCGGTAGGGCTTGGTCGCCGGCCGCCGGGCAGCAGGGCAGGCCGGTTCAAGGATGCCCAGAAGGTTGATGAAACCTGGCTCGGAGCAAGCATGTTGAATCCGTCTTCTCCTCGCAGGGCCTCTCCGCTGGTGCCCTGGGACACAGACATTGGGGCACGCCCCCCGGGGCTCCACTTTACGCGCTATCCTGATGCCTGCCAGGAAAGAAGGATTCATAGGTTATCTGGAGAGAAGAAGCCGCTGTGATTATCCCGCCTGCCAGCAAAACGCTTGGAATGGGTTTGGGACACAGCCTCTCTTTGCTGTGTCTCTACAACATCTGGCACAATGGCTCCCATGCACTATGGTAATATATCTAAAACATCACATACTGCCTCTCTCAGCTACACCGAGATCCTGATGCATAAGTGGGCTCCTGGGTGTGACCGTGACACACCGAATAAATAACGTACAGCACCGAGCACAATGGGATCCTGCTCGACGGCTGGGGACTGGAATTCCTTCCCTGCACCAGGGAGAAAGGGGATGGCAGAGGGGTGAAGGACCTTGATCACTGGGGGCTGATCCTAGACAGAGCTGTCCCTAGAGGGGGCAGGCTGGCTCTGCCCCCCACCTGAGCCCGGGCAGGGCTGGGAAAGGGCATCAGAGTCAAAGGCAGGCGGGGAGGGGGATGCAGGTGGCAGCTTTGCTGCCGTCCCAGCGGTGCCCTTGTCTCCCGGACCGTGGTGCATCACCTGGCAGCTCCCCTTCCTCAGAGCCCCGCCGAGCCGGGCCCCCCGGCTCCGCCCCGCCGGGCTCCCTCAGCGCAGGGGGCCC